AATGTATGCTCATTGTTCACCAACGTCCCATTGGAAGCGACGTTAGACATCATCGGTACTTATGCGGATAAAGTTGGGTTTCCAGCACACCACTTCAAGTCCTTACTCCGTCTGTGCACCAAGTTCTAATTCAACGGAGTGATATACCGCCAAATCGATGGCGTGGCCATGGGTCGTCCAATTGGGTCAGTCCTGGCTGGTATTTTCTTGGGCCACTTGGAGTACGCGAAATTACGTCCTTACCTACAAAAGGTGTACCTGTACAGTAGCTACCCTGACTGCACCTTCGTTGTGGTTGATAACGCTCAGCAGACAGTGCTTACTTGAAGTTCTAAATAAACGCCACCCTGCGATCAAGTTCACGCTGGAAGGCGAGGTGGATAACACCTACTAATTCTTAGATGTACATCTGATCATTTAGATAGGACAGTATTTAAACTTCTACACTTTCTGTCCTATAAATTACTACCGAGCATTGGGTCCGCTCTGCTTTCGCAAGAGCTCGCAAAATTTGTTCTAAAGATACACGCGTGTCGTCGATGCTCCAGTAAAATGCTTACCCCGTGAAACTCATAGCTCGGTATGTGAGCGCAGCAAATAGTAAGAAGTGTATGATAAATGTCCCCAAGAAAAAGTGTTCATTACGCTACCATTCAGAAGGGATCAAAATGAAGCACGTATGTCTAGGAGTGCAACGATAGTAGGTCTGTGATAAATGTGGCGATGTTCGAGGAGCTGGCGGAGCGTGAAGATTTGATCCAGCATCCGCGGACAGAAACCAGCTTGTTTTTCACGGTAATATGATTCACGTACTGGGGATAGTCTGCGAAGTAGAATGGATGCCAATAGCTTGAGGCAACCGAAATAATCCCACGCTGATTTGCACACGAAGTGCGAGCGCCTTTCTTGAAAATCGGGACAATAACTGATTCGCCCACAGAGGAAGGCACTTTCTCTTCATGCCAGATTTTTGCGAACAGCGCAGTCAGCTGGTAATGATCGCCACACCTCCGTACTTGAATAGCTCCGGAGGAAGTCCGTCTGAGCCGGTAGCCTTGAACCGCTTCAAGCTTCGAATCTTGAGACAGACTTCCGCTTCACTGAGTGGATTCAGTGGGACTAGCCAGGGTAGTCAACAAGGTGTACTGATAGATGAGGGAGGCCAGTTGAACTGCGAGTGAAAGTGCTCGGTCCAGCGGTTCTATACCCCATACTCTAGCTTTGGAGGTTCTCCACTGGGATTTCAGAGCGTATTCAACCTAAGATGGTCGCCAACGGTCCTAAACTGCCGGCTAGCTCTGTTGCGCAACACATTTTGAAATGCACTGCCTGCCGACTCCCTCGTTTAAAGTAATTACCCTGCAGAGGGATGCCCGATTGCTTTAGTTTGCCGAAGTTTCAGCTATTCGGCGGCTGAAGCCCAATTTGTGCAAATTGACTGAACTCAGGGCCAGCCTCGCCTTGCCTTGGTGAGGTTATTGATCGTTTTTTCTTTGAACTGAATGACCTTGTACTTTGCTTAGTTTTGTGCACGACGCGATAATTTCACGGATTGTATCTAAATAGCTGACGAGAATTCTTAGAATACCTTAAAACGTTTTTTCTTCTTGCTACTTTGAGATACACAGGATTGTCCAAGAGATAATTTTTTCACGATATCACTCAGTTTGTGGATATGAGTAACGGTTCTATGGCGATAGCTTTTGTCAGAGGAAGCCTCATGTGTCTTCAATGGTCTTATATTTGAAGATCCTTTGTCGGCATCGTCATCCTCCTTTTCGCTTCATCGGTCGGTGACAGCAATTCGTTTCTCACCTAAGGATGTTCCTCGTGTTGCATTGTCGGTCATTTTCCTGGTAATCGGCCTCTTTACTAATGTTTGTTTCTCACTCTGGGATCTTAGAGTAGACCTTGTGAATGGGACATTTGGTCCGTTGATATCACTAGTCGAAGCACTCCTGATAGTTCTTTTGTTTACTGGTGTTCTGCTGGGATCAGGCGCATGGACACTCGAAGTCGCCACCTCAGTATGCTTGTTGTCAAGATCCTAGCCCACGCAGCTGGTATCTCCATCGCTTTGGTTTGCTTCCCGTATCTTTATTCTCGAATCAGGATTGCACGGTGTCTCTACTTTTAGCGTTCGTGATGTGGACGCAAGCAAAGACTTTTGCTGGGTGTTAGATCATGCTTAATCACCACATCTTTGAACAGAGTATGTTGGGCTATGGCGAGTCGACACAGCACGAATCTGTCCGCAGATTCTTCACTGGAACATTTGCCAATTATCGAGCAACACCGCTTCGGTGTTTGTTTTCGCAGACGTATACACTTGCACTCGACCTCAGACATGTTTCAAGCAATTAGCAATATTGCTTTTACATTGCCTAAATTAACCGCATCAGAAATATTGCGAACTGTAGCTTTTTTCAACCTACGCGTCCGTTCATGGGCTTCGGATGCCACACAGGCAATAAGTTGTCCCACTTTTGTCATTTGGACTGGATCAGACTTCTCCGATAAGTTGTTCATGTATTCTAATGCAAATAGATAGTCCTTAAAGAGTTCGATGCCGGCCAGTGTCAGTTTCACTTCAGATAGTTGCAGCTCAAGAGAACTACTCTAAACATCCAGTTTTTATTGAGACTAACTCTTGTGGAGACATTGTTTCCATTGCTCTTGTCCTGTGTTTTCATTTTTTGTTCTTCTTTTATTCCCGAAATGGAGGATACACAACCCTTTGTTTATCGAGTACGGTTAGATTTTGTTGGAGTCGTAGTACCGCAATGGCGTTAGAGTTGATACTTGTAAATGGTAAGGGATAGTACTGACAGTATGCGGAATGTGGCTATAACATGAATTACCTTGTAAAGCTACTTATTAATTATAAGAATGAATATGCAACATTTAGTACAGAGTGTATAAAGAGATAGAACCGAAACAGGGATGTTTAGTCGACGCAGAGGAATTAAGGGTGTAGGCGAAGTGCTCACCGTTTTTCCTAATATCCATCTTCTGCTATGGAATTCGTTCAAATCCAATGGATTGTCTCGCCATCTGTTTGGTTGGTCAGTTGCCTTTGCTCCAAGTTAGGTGTTTGCATTTGACGGAACAATGTGGGTCAGGAAACTTTAACTATACTCCGTTAAGCGCAACTCACTGGGGCTAGGGTAGCGTATTCAGGCAAGATGATCTGGCGGATGCCGGTTCTGCAATTGCCCGACAGGTGTGGGTTCAGCGGTGTTTTCTTATCACGCGTACTGTCCAGTGTGGACGACGAGATAAGTCACGGGTGAACACATGAGGCGTGCACGTGTGCTTATCCATCTGTTCGCAGTGAACGCGAGCTTCGGATGTTTCATGCGAACTTGGTCTCCGTCCAGTTGCAAACAATGCAGCAGTGACCGTTATGGATAATAGCAATTTTTCTAATCTTTGCTTTGTACAGCAGCCAAATGAGTTGCATGTGGGATTATTAGATAGCCCTCAGAGTGATCTTGCAGTTGGAACTGCAATTAGCTTTATCAGTTTCAAAGTGATGAATTTGTGCACCTAACTTCAACTGTGTTCCTTGCTTGTTCCAGTTTTCACAAAAACCGTTAGGTATCCTAAACTCTTTCCAGCCGTGGATGGATCACACAAAAATACATCGAACGGGGTATAATAATCCACGATTAGTAGCAACTGCGTGTAGAAAATACAACAAATGTCAGCGCTCCGGTTTTTGTGTCTGCCTTATGCATGTAACCGGTGACAACTTCAAGTGTGTGTGGTCATTGTTGCCCACGACTGTGAATGATAAAACGCTCAGTTGTGTAAATCCTCCTGTAAGCAGCTTGGTTGTGTGAATTGAGAGCATCTTAGTTCTGATTTGTGTATTCCCACAGGAAACATTATCTTTCCCCTTTGTCTCGGCTTTCTGGTTCTGGCATACTCTTCTTCCACTTTGTCAAGATGGTACGGCTAATCCAGTGCGAAGCCAATTGCAGTCTAAGCATGATGCCTCGGTTCCCTCGGTCCCCCAGCGGAATCGCCATTCCCACGTGACACACTGTCCATACCCCAAACTTGTTAGTGACTAATACAGACGCACCACTGTCGCACTTACCTACCATGTGCACCATGCTCGAACCCAAACACTTAGGCGATCATGCAACGGTCAGCGTCAATTCCCCAATACATAGTATATTCGTAGTGATTCTGCTTACTGCCAAATACATAATCAACAAACTTCGTTTTTTTAAACACGCTTGCACAGTTCATTCACCAGATATCCTTGGAACTGAAATCAGGTGTTTCTCTGATAAACTTGACTCTACTCTGATGATTCCAAACTATCACTTGTTTCGAGAGATCGCTGCACTAGAAAAGGTGGAGGGTGTATCATCTATCTACACAAAACTTTTACTGCCGAAAGTATAGACAACTCACAACTGAAACATGTCCCTGAATCCATTTGGCTGTCAGTTGCAGGTGCCTCCTCCTGCATACTGCTCGTCTACATCTACAGCCCACCGAATTCGTCAAACGTGAATATGGCTAACATCATTATCGCATTTGACTTTGCATCAGCGTTAGGGCACCTTGCCACTAGAGTTTTGTTTATGAAGTTTAGATCGTAGACAAGGCCCACCTTCTCCCACCTCAGTAACCAATATTGGCAGTGTCACTACAGTGTTTTTGAAAACGAGTACCCGAGGAAAGCACTGATGCATAACTCTTGATGACTATGAAGACTCGTTTAATTTCTAATGAAAATTACACTTACCGCTAACTTTCATCATCCATCATGTTACTTATATCGCTTGTTAAGCTTCTGGTGGTGACATTCGACCAGAGTCGGTTTGAAGTTCTCAACATTTGAGTCGCTGACATTTTGTCTTCCCTTTCAGGTGAAACGTATAAACTTATGAACCTGACCTATCCTTCTGTGAACACCGCCTTAAACATGTGAAAAATATTCATCATATTGTTTTCATTGTATGTGCCACTTTGTTTTTCAGGATTTAGAGAAGAAACTTCGAAAAGAAGTGGATGAAGATGCCGAACGTTGTCTCGCTGATGCAAGTCCCGAACCTATCGATGGTTTCTGTAGCCCGTTACTCAAAACTCCGCCCAGTTTCCGGATCCGTGGGTGCGACATCCTCACTTGGTACACACCAAAGTGAAGAATATTACTTAGTTCCATACTAGTTGTTTACTTCGCTTTATGTTGTCTAAACTGGATGTTCCGTTGTATACAACTTCTCCAGGCTTCTGATAGCACTGCACTGTGCGAAAAACCTGTGTGATATCAACCGACTTCTGTTGCTTTTCTCTTGAACCTCGCCACAGTTACATGTTTGTCTTGCGCTGTCCATCAGCTCTAGGACGCTTCGATACCGAGTGGGTGTACGTGTCACTCAGTGGACGATTGATAGCAGTGTTCCACTCTGGAGTCCACATGTGACCGTTTCTAATCTGCATAGGTGCGAACGATTCCGTAGTATCCTTACTCCGCGTTCGATCGATGGTAGTCGCGTGACAACGAATTGTCGGTACAATGTGCCAGAGTACTGCTGCTGACATAGATGTGGAAGAGTCATCTGGCATCCTCGTTTGTTACTCATGCGCTGCAAACTGGATTGCTGTTTCAATACGGCAGATGACAGCATTTAGAGAAGTGCGATCGTTTTGGGTAGTCAAGTGTCAATCGCCATCTCGTACCTAACGATCCATTCCATTTCGACTATTTCAGGAAGCACTGTCGATACTTAAATGGTTTTAGTAGATATATGTCTGTGTTGCTCCATCGTAGTTAGATCGGGATTTTGCGCGGATTTACCTCACTGGTTTTTGCGCGTTTACAGCATGTGCACCATATGCGATCACTCCCTAAACCTGAAATCCGCATTGGACATCTATAAATTGCTTAAATTCCGACACCGATTACCGCTTCAGGCAAACTGTTGCGTTACTTCACCGCTCAAAACATAGAGGGGAACTGCCGAATCATTCCGCGCCGCGCGGCTTAATGCGGTTGACTTGAAAGGCTTGATATCTCCTGTCTCCTCTGATTGCTACTTTCCAGAGTCTTGTTGGAGCCAATTGTTTTCACCAACTCTGATTTCTGTTGCGTTGTGCGACATAACGTGGTTATAAACCCAACAGCGCGGTTAAATTCAGTCTATTGCTTCTATCAACTAGCCCATCCCTTTGACGATTACCCCGTATTTGCAACCAACATGGTGACGTTTCACTGCCACGCTTTGAGAGCATTTGAACACCCGATCAATCAGCCCTAACTACAAACATCTCATTTCTAGGAAACAATGGCTCATGAGTAGCTACGCTGACTAATTTGGCTCCAGAAACCTTTCTTCGAACACCGCCTATGATTGCACATCGTCTTCACTAAGACGGCGGCATCCGGTTTCGGATTTGCCTGTCACTGTGGCCAGCAACAGGACGCCTGCGCCTACAGAGGGACCATGGATGGCTTGCGCTGCACCACCCACAGCTCCATCCCCACACCCCATATCCAGTGTAAATCCGGAAGAATAAGACCTGGAGGCATGTGGATGGAAGCCACATTTCATCAACGGTGCCGGCCCACACTCCTTCACATTCAAGCACAAGCACGCTGTATTTGGGAATCCAACGCACACAAGGCGGTGGCTGGACCGTAGTCCGCTCCACACTGAGTGCATGGAACCACTCTTTGATCCTAACGCGGTCGCAAGGACCGTGCACCCCGTCCCCTTCAGCAACGGCCAGCTGTCTCCTGGAGCCAGTATGGACGAGGTAGTGGGTAGTAGACAGGTAGGCACCTTGTCAACATGCACATCAAGGGCAGCCACACCGGGGATGTCAGACAGCAGCCAATCCCTTGAGATGTTAATAACGAACAATATATGTCGCAGAAGGCATAGGGAAATGATGACATATATCTACGCAACATGCGCACATGTTTATCAACAAATCCGCAATAAGTACAGAATTTCTGAAGTATTTTTTAATGCCACAAACGCGAAAATATTAGCGAACTTAACCACAGTTAGCTTAAGCGACATGTGCGCATTAATAGATGATTATTCAGGTGCATTTTAAGATGAGGTGAAAAAAGCGTTAAGGCGATATAGAAAACCTACCAACTGAAACAAAGAAACTAAGCACGCGATTTGTAAATCGAATGCAGCGTACGTACGAACGCTGCGCCGGTTCTGCTTACCTTCCCAGCAGGACCCGTCGTCGTTTCGATGCTGGTCCCTAGTTGCTTCGCTTGTGGCTAACTAGGCCTGTCTGGCTCAGGTACTCGCGACCGCATGTGCTGCGGCACCATGCGCTCGACGTCGATGGAGTACAACCCATCGACGACTGCCGCTTCTCTTTACGCACGATTGCTTTTTTTTGCATCTCGGCAACGGCCATCCTGGTCAGATCGCGCCTTGCATGCCGACCAACCGCCTTCGATTCCCAACATCTGAAATCAACATTAGAACCTGATTGGCTCACTTTAATCATGTCCTGGTAACGTAACTTCGGTTTCCCCACATGCCGTTTCCCAACACACCTTACTATATAAAAACTGCTTCGGTATCTGTGTCGAAATCATACGCCACACATGACCGAGCCACCTCAGATGCCTCAGCAAAAGTATGCAATCCACCGCATACATTTCACTTCGTCGCAACACTTCCGTGTCCGCAACTCTGTCACCATTTATACGCAGAATCGGTCGAAGGCACTCTTGATGGAACCGTTCGAGATATCGCACATGACGCCGGTACATCGTCCACGTTTCGCTGTCGTATAGAATAACGGATAGCACCATGGATTTGTACACCATCAGCTTCGTACCAAAGGTAAACTGATGGTTGTTCCGCACTCGGTACTCCAGCTTCCCGAATGCCGCCACTGCCTTCGAGACGCGGATACGAAGCTAGATGTGTATCTGCTGGTCTGTCAAAGCAACACGCTCAAGGTAGCAAAAGCAGGTGGTTTCCAATACCTCAGCACCAATGCTGATTCGCGGCACCATTGTCAATTGCACCTCCGGTGAACAATGAAACAATGGTTTATTACGGGTAAAAAAGCATTGCTTAACAAGTCCCGTAGGATGGAAATTATTGCGAAAATCAATTTCATTATAAATCGAAAAGCTTTGTGGTAGACTCACCCTAGGCTTATGTGGAATAGCGGAGATGTCCGCGTATTAAACGTATAAATCTATAAATCCATTGGTTAGGCGTTTGGCAAGACACCGTTTGATTGCGTTTTGTAGCCCCTGGCTAACAAGTCATAAAATGAAATGCAAGTGAGACAATGCATCGTCAACACCTTTTCTAATATCACCAAATTGGGAGCAGACGGCGTTCCAAGGCTGGCACACGCGGAGAGAAAAGAAATTTCTACGGCATTCAAGCCGGCTATAATGAATTGTCAGTTTCAGAGGTGACCTCTTAGTTTAGTGTTGTGTTCAATTCCAGCAGCGGACGGCAGGTGTTGTTTGGATTCTTCAGAATTTGCTAAACCATTATGAGATCCCTCCGCAAAAGCCGATATCGACTGCTGTACATTCTTAGAAATTTCAGTCTAAGCTGATAGGGCAGATGAAAGAGGCCCCTGACGTTCTTGGTTGTCCTTCGTTGAGGAGTCTCGAGAGCAACGAGATCCTGTTTCTGCCACGGCTGCCACGCCTGGATAGCAGATTCAATTTGCGATCGTAAGTAGGCGTTAAGCAATTGGGGATAGATTGAGGGTTCAAACCGACTGATCCTCTGCGAAGAAGGCCGAAGTGTTGATTTCCGGTTCTCGTCGCCTTCTCTGCTTGTTTTGAACACCTGAGATCTTCATGTACCAATACACCCAGGTCACGCTCCTGAGCGACCTTCTCCAAGGTGTGGTCTCCAAGCTTGTAAGCGCTCATCAGCTGGTGACGCAACTGCATCACCTTGCACTTAGCTATGTTCAATTGAAGCATGTTCCTCTTTGACCATTCGTAAATGCAATCTAGGTCATGTTGGAGCAGATCCTGATCTGGCTTGTTACTAATCGCCCACCATATATTGACTTCGTCGGCGAAAAGCAGGAAATTTGAGGAGATAACTGATGCCAGACCGTTGATAAACACCAGGCATAAGCGCGGTCCCAGCACTGAGCCTTGTGGAACACCACATTCCACCTCACTTGAGTTAGAGAGTGATCCCCTGACACGTACTTGAAGCTTCCGTTGGTGAAGGAAGCCCCCAATCCAACCAAGTGCAGGATCTCCGATTCCGTAACTCTGTAGCCGTTGAAGTAGGATGCGGTGATCAAGGCGGTCGAAAGCTTTGGAGAAGTCTAGATAGATGACGTCGACTCCGACCCCATCATCGGCCACTTCCGTCCAACTACCTCGTGCAGTCAGTAGTTGGTGGTCCATGACCGGTGTTGACGGAAGCCATGCTGTTCCGCTACCAAGACGTTGCATTTTTCCAGGTAGTTCATTAAAGCCTCAGCGACGACTGCTTCTATCACCTTCGCGAGCACAGGGAGGAGAGTCACTTGACGATAATTTACAGGATCTGAACGGCTACCGCCTTTAAAAATAGGGGTGATAATGCCACACTTCCACATGGTGGGGACTTGTTGTTCATCAAAGCACCTTTGGAAGAACTGTGACATTGGTTAAGTCCGCTGGTTGGCCACAGCCTTCAGTGCCTTCGGGCGGATGTTGTCTGCTCCCGGAGAACTATGCTCACGCAGTGAGAGTAACTTCCTCAGAACAATTGATGGGTTGAAAATTAAATTTGTAAACAGTGGTGTCGGTAATATGTATGACATTATGGGACAAGTAGAGGTTGCGAGTTCGAAAATTGGGGCGTATTGTAGCCGCAGGGCATTAGCTGCTTCTTCAGCGTTTTGTACTTTACCGCCTGTCATGAAAAGTGGACGGATTCCATGCTTCACTTTACGAAGCTTTTTGACATGCATATATAGCAGTTTGTTGTTTGCCATGAATTTTTTTGCTAAGCACTGTTGATAAGTTACTTTGTCCTCACGGACAAGTGCAGTACAATGGTTGCGATGGATCAGGAAATTGCCCCTAGTCTCTGAGTCGGGGTTAATCTTGTAGGCATGCCATGCTGCATCCCTTATCGCCAGGCATATTCGAGTCCTGCTCCTTAGAATTGAAGGCATTTTTGCG